AACAGCGAACTGCAACACGGAAATAAAAACTTGATGTTTTCCCTCAGAGTCACTTGAGATCTTTTAGGGAAAATCTTCATGGGAGAATTCTGATTTACCTAATTTGAAAGCATTGGTTCCTGGATCAGTCACTTCCCTGGAAACACAACCATTGCTCCCTCAATAAAAGAGGGAAAACAATACTAACAGAGATTTCTAAAATACTTTGAGATCTGTGAATATAAAGGGCTGTCTGTAAAGTGTTTAGAGAACTTCAAAAAAAGGTGCTACATAAATGCATATTTATTGCAGTGCTGACGTTCTCGTGGCAGCTCTGAATGCAGAATCAAAAGCAGAGGGGGCAGAATATAAGTCAGAATAAGAAACTGTCAGCCTTTAGCCTCTCTCTTAAACTGCTTTGAAATGTTGCAGACATTCAGAGAATCTAGTTTGCCAATACTGTGTGTGCTGCAGTAATTACACCAATCTGGAATATAAATTTTCCTTCCCCCTCTTTTCTGAGAGGAGGCAAAGCTTTTAGAGAGACACACAAACGGAGCTCTAATCCTACAAACCTTAATGCACGTACCTACTGTCAGGCAGCAGAGTTGTGCCACTGATTTAAATAGTTCTACTCAGGTGCATGTGGGGAAATGTTTCTGTGATTAGGAGTTAATACTAATAAATGCACAGTTCGTAAGAGATCCCTGTGTAAACAATCTATTTCTGCATGCAAGTGATGATTTTATTGCTGTGCTGTAATTCTGCGTGGAGGCTTTGTGAAGAAGTCTTATATTTTCTAAAGCACTAGAATGTTTCTGATAGTGTTTTTCATTGCTAGCTCTTTGGGGGCTAATTAAAAGAAATATCTGTTAAATTTATCCATTGCTTGGTTCCTTGAAAGCAAGAGGCACCTGGCATAAACATTAAAAAGAAAAGCAGGCAGCAGCCAGACCTCATCATATATTAGATGCATTAGGACATTTTATTTATAAATATGAAATTGGTTTTAATGACTTCAAAAGGAGAAAATGCCAGGAAGAGCAAAAAAATGCCATAATATGAGCAAGCTCAGTAAAGCTGTCGTGAAGATGCCTAAACCTACAAAAATTTAGAAATTGTACTTGCTCCCCCCATTCTCCTCTCAAATAGGAAGTGACAATTCCAGCTGCAAGTGGCAAAAATGCACATAGAGCTGCTGTATTCACCAAAACAAGCAGCAGATGAGCTGGAGCATCCAAGTGCCTGTCTGCAGGGAAAGCACCATCAGTGGGAGATCAGATATAGCTCATTTATACCGAGGTGATTGATTCAGGGAAACAAACCCTGAATTTTGACCCCTGTGATTTAATGCAGTCCTAAAGGATGAGAAATCCATCCTTCTTTTAGGACATTTAAGCAGGCACTTATATTAAGCTTGTGCTTTACATTCACTTGACTTTACTTTCAAACAGGCTTAGCAGTGTTTCATTCTGTTCCCACTACAGGGTTCAATAAATCAGTAATGATCAGTGACTCAATACTTTATAGTCCATCATGCATTCAGCACTGTGCCAAATAAAGGTAAAATAAATTAATGATCAATAGACTAACAATGCAGGTGAGGAATATCAGTGATTTTACTGAAAAGGTTCTCCTCCATGAAGAGAAAATCTACCTTAAAGGTAGATTTCATCTTCAGGCACATCCATTCACAGTGATTTGAGAAAGGAATTTCACATGAAGAAATCTGATGTTAGTGAGATCATCGTCCAGTTTTAGGGGGAGGAACCACAGCATTATTTCTCATTCAGAGAGCTGAAGTTTGGAGCCAGGTGTAATATGGCAGCGTCCAAAGAGGTAGAAAAGATCTGTGTCACAAGAACTCTCATTCACTTCTACTTGGAAACTTGGAAAAAAGTGTTAAGCAAAAAGTGTTAAGCAAAAAAGACTTCATTCTAAGGTAACCTAAGTGAAAATCTGAGACAAGCCACAGACTGTATCAAGTCTACAGAGGACCTGATTGCTCCTGCTTAATTTGACCTCTTCTAAGAGACTGTTGGACACAATTGTCCACACAGAGGAGGTGATTGTTTTCATCCTGGTTGGGAGGAGAAACCCTTCAGTAGTTGTTCTCCTCCTTCCATGTAGCAGAGAACAGTATCTGGATAAGCAGTTTGATGAAGGCAAGTAGAAGTTGTCCTGTCCATTTTAAGGCCTCTTACATTTTCCCAGTTTTAGACTGATTCTGTGGGCAGGGAGTGTAACTACGTGGCTACAGTGGAGGAGGGAAATTAGGAGTCCTGATGCAACCTGTACTGGCCCATCATGCTAATCCAGCTGGTATTTTTGGCATGTAAAGGAGGCACATTCTTCACACAGAGAGCAGGCCTGACTCCACTGTGCAGCAGGGCTATAAAAGAATCACCTTTTGCAGCCCAAGGGTGTTTTGTGGCCTCCTGGAATCCCAGATGTGTGATCTTTTCAAAGGGTCATTTCCCAGTTTTGTTGACTTCTTTAATCACAGCAGAAGTGCCTCATTTCTAGGGCAGGAACTTTTCCTCATGGCCTTGCAAACAAAACAGACATTGGTTTTCCATCCTGCCCTGACCTTTGGAAGATGCCATCTCTGCCAGGACTGCACTTTCTGACCCTGGAGAGATTTGCCAGTTCAATCCTGACTCTGAGGGAGCTGAGCCACCTCCTGAATCACCATCACACTTCCTGCAGGTTAACGCCTGTGTTTGCCTTGGAGGTCACTCTGTCCAAGAACTAACCAGGTCTGACCCTGTTTAACTTAGGAGATCCAAGCAGCAGAATTGTCCAGGCCTCCAAAATTGAATAAGAAACACACCACAAAGCCTCAGAGGAGTCTGAGTACAAGGAACTGCAGCCAGGGAACACAGTCCCAGCTCAGAACTGCTGCTTGCAGGACACAACTACAGTATGTTGTAGCACAAATTCCAGGTTTTAAGTGGCTTTGGTGACAGGACCTTGCTGGATTCAGCATGAGAACAGGTCCAGATGAGGGGGAGCAGCAGAGACTGTAACCTATAAAATGACTCATTCCTACCAGCCCTATATGTGAGGCTTCTGCTTCCACCAAGCCAGGTGACATTTAACCACAAAAATATTTAACATGCCTTTTACAAGGATGTGCATCAGTGACTATGATAAAATACAGGGATGTGGGAGAGTCAGGATGCAGCTTTTTCAATGCAACCTCATATGAAGAAAAAAAAAAGGCAATAGAAAAGAGGTCTTGGCATAAGGAAAACATCCCAATGAAATCCTGCCTTTTAATCTCGGCCACAATCTCTTCTTATCATCTTCCTTGCTTTTTAATGCTCTGCTGCACTTTTTATATTCATTCACTTTATCATCTTCACCTGTCTCAAAAGTCAATAAAAGCAGAGGCCACAGTTTTAAAATACAGACAAATGAACTGAGGCACCAAACTTCTCAACTTCTCCAGAGGTGCTGACTGCTCACAACTGTCAGCAACTGCAACACAACCTGTGGGTGATCAGTGCCTTTAAAAATCACTTAAGAGCTTGAAGAGGAACATAACTGGGAAAACACAGAGGATAATACTTTCAAAAGCTTCTGACTGAAGAGTCAGTATTTTACCTTCAGAAGTGATTTAAGCACTTGGGGATTCAAGAACTACTTAAAAAATCAAGTGTCTTCTGAAATGCATAATTATTTTCATGAATGGTACACAGATACCTCCTCTGGTAACGCACTTACCCAGAAGTTTTAGGCCTCCCTCCGAGAGGATTTGACACACTGCAGTTCTAGTCCAAGACTGGTCACACTCTCACCTACACAAACTCCACCAATAGTCTTGTGGAAAAGTGACTTCCTACATTTATATCCTGAGGAAACCCCAGTTCAAGAATGACCCAAATGTCCTGATGGCTGTTGAACAACCTGAAGAAAGACCCTCCTGCACTTTTCTAGTGCCTCTGATGGGTGGAAGGCCCTGATGGAACATACTTTTTTCTGACTTTCTCCTGTTACCATTTTTCCCTGACATCTGTTCACCACTAAGCCAGCAACAGTCAGTGTCCCACCACGATGTGTGTGAGCTTCCAAGAGGCTTTAGGAAGAAGGAAGAGGTTGCTACATGTACAGAGACAGGCAAAGGTAGTCCCATCATAGCAGCTTGTTGATAGAGCAGGTTTACAGCTGCCATTAGTGAAATGGAGAAGAGGTCACTAGCACAAGCTCACCCCAGTGACAGCTACAGATCAGGAAAAAAATCTCACCACATGGCAGCATTTTACTGCTGTTGGCCTGAAATTTTGTTAATATTTATCTGATGTGTTGATCTTTAACATTGGGGTTGCTGCTGGTAGCAAATAGTCCAATCAGCCTGAGGCCAAGGTGAGTGTGTTGTCTGGCCAGTCAGATTAAAGCTCAGCAATTCCTACCAGAGGGATCTGGGCTAAAGGGGTCAATCAACTTATAGCTCCTTGGTTTGAGCTCCCTGGATCCTTTAGCAGGCGAGGCTGGGATGTTGTAGATGTGGTTTGCATATATCCTATATATCCACCAGGAATTTGGTCAGTGTCTTAGACAGAACAGTTTGATCTTGCCTCTGGAATACAGGCTCCTAGGTCACTGCTTTTCAAGTGACCCAAGAAGTGCTCTGCCACCACCGTTGCTGCCCATCCCTGCATCCTGAGCTGAGACAGTCAACCAGAGACAGTGGGGTTCATATCTTTGAAACAAAGGTTTCAAGCCTTTCCTCCTTGGCAAGACATATTTTAATAGAAAGGCACGTCCTATTTTCTCTTTGAGTGTCTCTAAAGAGGAGGAAGGTTCTCTGTTACTGTTTTAGAATCTCTTTTCTTTGATTGAGTTCAAGCTCTGTCTTTGGAATAGCACTTTAGTTTTTCTTTCTTAATTTAGACAAGGTTTAAGTCACATATTTTACTGCATTCGTTTTCCTTTGGTTTTCTTTTGCACAAAGAACCTGTTGGCTTTCTCTTCTTTGATACCATGCACCACTCCTCACACAACCCCTAGCAACCTACCTGGTTACATCCAAAAAACTTTTTTCTCTGTTTTCCTCCTGGCCTGATGTGCTGCTTAGATCTCCCTCACTGCAAGAAGCCTTTCCCTCTTCTGCTATTCATCACAGCAATTTCACATGCTCTCTTCAGCTGTTCTCTCCACAGGCTGGTGAAGCTGGTACGGTTATTATCCTCTTTATCCTGTACAAAGTTAACAAAAAAATAGATTATTTATGGATAACACTGGAGACCACCCATATAGCAAGAAAAAATGAGAAAAAACAGTTGTTTTCATGCTTAGGGCAGCTATGCATAGTTTGGATCAGACAGTCCTTCCCATCTGACTCCTGTTCTCAGTAAATATTTGTGACTTTGCTGATAAAGCAACACTGGATTTCTCAGCTGGGCTTCCATGTGGACCATAAGCCGTGGGACAGGACTATAGGATCTCATTCTATAACAAGCTTTCTTGAATAGTCATTTGTTCCATTCTCTATCTTGGTCGTGAAAAATCTGCTTAGAAATCAAATGGCAGAACAAAGTCTCCAAATACAGCTGCTTGGGCTGTATTATTGATTGCTGGCGAGGCCCTTGGCAAGAGGTGATAAGGGCTCAAAGGCATTAAAACAATTTTTATTCTGACCTAGACGCGGAAAATAGCAACACTGAAATGCTTTTTGATTTAATATTACATGATTTCTATTCAATGCACATTATCTTTGCTTCAGTCTTGTTTTACTCAACTTGTTTGCACCTGCCCTGTCTGTGAACACCAGAAGCTTTGAGGACCATCACTGTGTACTGGGATGGTTGTTATGACCATGTAAATGAGCACCAGCAATAACAACCTGAAGGAGGGAGCAGTGTGAGAACGTGCCCAGGGCTGGCCAGAGCTGGGCTGGGGAGTACAAGGAGCTGAGATGGAGCTCAGGGCAGCCCTCGGGTCAGGATAAATTGTGTGATCAGCCACAGGACAATTTTGGGGCAGGGCTGATGACTGATCTGAATGCCAGCTGGGGAGAGGCTCACTCTGAGCTCAGCATCACTGGTTTGCCTCTGACCCAGCATTCTGCTCAGCTCCAGACATTTTGCAATGGGATACCCAGAGAATTGTCACCATCTGTCCCCTGTGAATTCCTTTCCACACACCTGCATACAACTGACAGCAAGGTTTGACTTCTGACTGTTCTCCACTCGTTTGCAATCACCACTTTCTCCCCAAAAGAAAAAAATACCAGTAGGAGCAAAGAGACACGGGAACACAAGGATGACTTCAAACTTCAGTTTTACAGCTTCTTCCTTTTCTGAACCACAAAATCTCCAACACATCCCTTTTGCCCACAGATCTCAAAGTGCTTTACAAAGGCAACAAATGTCACTGACAGCACTTTACAGGGAGGGAAACAGGAGCACAAAGGGGAAAGTTATTTGTCTGAGAACCCTTCAATAGACCAAGAGCAGAGGAAGGAATACAAACAGTGATCTCCTGGCTGGGAAAGCTGCTCCATGGACCTGCTGCCTGCAGTGCTCACATTTCTAATGCCAACAAAATCTGTGGTTTAGACCCCTCTGACCATCTTATCTTTTCTTCCCCTCCCTTCTCAACATACACATTCCCAGTTAGTCATCACGTGACAGTGAAAGTCCCTTTGGGTGGATTTATGGGTTTGATTATTAAAGCTACTTTTTCCAGGCCTCTTTCTTAGGTACTGGTTCTGGTATTTAAGAGCTAAATTTTATGTTTTGTGCAAAGCAGGAAGATCAGGCATGTGGGAGGTTCAATGTGTTCAATAGGTATTTGAGACAACATCTTCCATATAAAGATTATTTCCAAACTGCCCTTGGTGCAAGCTGCAGCTGAATGCACTATTTAAATGCAGCCTTGGCTTTTTTGCAATTTCCTGCCAGAAAAGCAGCTCTGGAAGTGTTTTGAAATAAAAAGACACAAATGTTGGAAGGAGGCAAGCAGTCACTTGACCTCATCAGTGCTCAGTGCTGGTGTTAGTCAGGCATTTTCTAACTAGAGGGGGTTGGGTTTTCCATTTTTTGGGGTGAGGGGGAGACAGAAAATGCTGATCTCTCAGAACTGAAACTTTTTGTGGGAAACACATCATTTTCACAAAATGCTTGCTGGGAGGAATCTTCCCACCCAGCTTGAGACTGATGGACAAAGACTGATTGGGAAAGGATCCCAGCATAGCCAGCAGCCCAGTGGTTACATTCCCTGGTGATGTGGATTTACACCATGTGATACAGGAAAGATTGAGTTGGCTTCAAATAAAGCAGAGCAAGGATTTGACACAGTCTTCCCACAGTCATTGCAAATACCCCAACCTCTGGGTCATCCTGTCCCCTCTGCCCCAAGGAATGGGATTTTTATCAAGTCAGAATCAATCCAACGGGAGCAATTTTGTTGATCCCAGTCAAGGAGGTGTTTTACACCATGGACATGAATGCTGGTCTCCTACATCCTACAGGAATACCCTCAGCACCAGGCTTTGGTGTGCTGGGAGCTGAACCTCAGTTCTGCTCACTTGTTTCTCTTCAAAAAGCAGACTTTTTTTTATTTTGATGAGACAGAAATTCTAAAACATTCCCATTTTTCCTTAAACAGATGTTTGTTTTCTAGCCAGCTTTACTCAGCATTTTGTAGAAGGGAGCCCTTGGTCTGATACCAGACTTTTCAAATGTGCCCAACTTTGGTTTTTCCATTGCAACCAGTTCTACAAAAGGAACCAATATACACACAGTGAGAAGCATTTTCTGTTACCTCAACAGGCTGTGAGGCTGACCCCAAACTCTGACAATTCCCCAAAGTGGGTTGTTGGGTTTGTTTGTTTAATAGAAGATAAAAGCCATGTTCTTTCTATTAAACATAATTTAGACAAGCATGGCAGGAGCACACATTGGAAAGGTCAGTGGGTTGCTGTTGTACCTTCTGTATGTTGCTGCTTCTTAATGGTTTGTTTTTCTGTTCTTGGTCTTGGAGAGAAAGCGGCAGGAATTGTGCAAGGTCCTTGCACAGCTGGAATCAGATGATCTCTTTACTACAGCTCTGTAGCTACTGGAGAACTGGTTTCCACTCCCTTCAGCTCCCGACTGCTCCTCACCGTGGTCTTAATTATTACAAAACCATGTGGGATGGACCAGGTGAGTGAAAATAGTGAGGTGTCATCCAGAAAGGTTTCAAATTACCAACACCCATTTTTTGATAGTGTCAAGTTTTCTCCAACACAAAGAGTAAATAAATTCAGAAAGAAGTGAAAGAAGGGAGAAAGGGGGGAAGGCATGACCTGTAAGTGTGCTGAAGAATACTGTGATCTCCTAATATTGAGGGAGGTAGTGGCAGGTTCTCTCAGAAGCCCAAAGAGATACCTGTGGTGGAGAGAAGGATTGTGAAACACAGGCTTTTCCCTCCCTCTTTTTGGCTGAGGCCAATAATTACATCCCTCTTTCCAAAACTGCTCAGGCACACAAAAAGGATGATGCTGACAACAGTTTCTTTAACCTGTCCAACAGTTCTCTTTTGGAAAGAAGCCCTTTCCCAACCCTACCAGGATAAAATAACGCTTTACTCAAAGATAATTCTTCTAAATTAGGATCTGCATTTACACAGAAGTAAGGATGACAATCTAAAGGAACATTAGCGGAAAGGTGCTGAAGAATAATAGCATTATTCTGTCTTTACTCTGAGAAGGAAAGGAAACTGTACATCACATGAAAGGCTGACCAGCTGCTCGTGTTACATAATGAATGGGGACATTGCTGATTCAATAAATGCAAGAATATAGAAATTTAGCTACAAAGACAGATACTCTGGTGTCCACATTTGCTAAAATGTATGGCACAAACATTCCACGTATTTCTCCGTTATTTCTCTTTGCATGCTGGTTTATTTCATAACTTTTTTTCTCCCCAACATTTTTTATAAGCACCAAAGAGGAGCAGCTGGGGGGTAATTAGTGTTCTAGGAAGGAAGCATCTCATCTCAGCCACGTAACAGGGACAAAAAAGTCATTTTCAGACTAGAGAAGAACTAGGCTTTACACAGCACCTACTGAACCTGAGTAAGGTTTAAAACTTAAATAGTCAGCAGGCACATCACAGCCTACCTTCAGAAACAGAGCGGCTGCAGCTGAAGGGGAAAGCCAAGCACTAACGATCAGTTAAATACTCATTGTTTCTTCAGTAACACACCGCAGGGAAGGTGCTCAGAAAAACTCCTCAGACACATTCTGAGTACGTTGACAAAGGAAGAAAACAGCTCGTATAAAAACGGCAGCATTTGTTAAATGAAACAAAACATGGTGCTGGAACTGCAGCTCCATTCAAAGGCACTTCTACAGGTAAATGGAAGAAGCGTTGGGAGAGAGAAAACTGCTCCTATTTCAGACAGACATCTGGAGATTACAAGTCAGAGCTGGATATTTATAAGATTCCCCCACCCTGAACTGTTTAGTTCCTTGTCTCTTGCTCTGCAGAATTTAGTTCTGGGGGAATAAAATGCTCAGCTATTGCACCTCCGTTTGGAAAACAGAGACATGAGGAGAAAGGCAGGTGGGCACGTGCATACATCTGTACATGGATGTGAATCCACGTTTGGCAAACACTGGATTTAGAGGGAAGCTTTGGGATGCCAAAGCAGGGGCCTGATAGTTCCTGAACAAGTAAAGACTCTACACAACAGATACACTCAAGATCTAAATAAAAAACTCATCTATTAGTGTAGCTGGATTGTCTAAACCGTCTCTAGTTTCTCTGCAGGAGAAGCCACAATCTCTCAGGGTTCAGCTCCCATTTAAACAGCAAAACAGACATCCTTGTTTTCCAGAGATATGAAAAAAATCCTATCACTGCTCCCCATCCTGGAGTGTCTCAGCAGAGCTGCCTGTATTTCATTTGGGGCAGCAGGGCTACATCAATTTGCACTAGGCAGGGAGCTTCTGTTTCCAAACAGACCATGAGGAGAGTTATGACCTGCAAATCAGGCCAGAATATCCTTGGCTCTGTTTCAGGATGCAAATACTGCTTTTTTCTCTTAGAAATATTAAAATGGAATGATCTAGTGAGGAGGCCTTTTCTACCTACTTTGGTTATGGGTCTTTGGAGGGATTATCTTGACTATCAAATAGCTTTTAGTGGTTATCAGTGACCAGAAGATCAATTTACGCTCTTAGGAAATAAACGCAATTCTTGCTTAC